CCCCAAAACCCCAAAACCCCAAAACCCCAAAACCCCGAGATGAGACAACAAGATTGAAACAGTAACTAATTATCTTTACTTCCCTTGTAAGAAGAGGGATTTTGAAGTGCCTCTAAGACCGCTTTGAAGTTCCTGTTGAAGTTTAGCATCGAGAATTGGTTTCTAAGAGCCTTGACTGTATTATCATCCATCACATGGGCAACCAATGAGCCATCCTTCCCTTTCTCGTTCTATTCAGGCTGAATTAGAGGAGGTTGGGTTAGCTTACCTTATTTAAGATCTTTTCCATTCTTAGCCTCTTTTCAATTTCCTCGATTGCTTTCAGCAAAGCTGCTATGTCACATTTCATCAATTTTTCATCTCTTACAGTAGTAGTCATCATTTGGGGGTCACTAGCTCTATTCCCTGAAGTATAATTTGAATTTCTTTTTCTTTTCTTAATCTTTTGTGGAGTCTCAATAAACTTTTCCCTGCTTAGTTCAAAGTTATCAACCATCTGTAATTCTAACTGGGTGTCTTTCGGAGCATTCTGATTTTTCGCTGTGAACATTTCTCTTGCAGTATCCTCAACATACATCTTTTTCTTTGGATTCTTCACTTTCATGGATTTTATATGCCCAAAATTGTTGTAGAACGGATGAGAAAAATCTTCATAGGTACCCTCTATAGAATTTTGAAGTAAGAAACGCTTGCAAAGATTGAATTGATCTAAAATCCACTTCTCATTACTTTGAGTCAAGAAGCCGATGATTTTCTCAGACCAATACTTCCATTTCATTGGGGAAACATCTCTGTCAACAAGCGTGCTTTGTCTCTTGAAGATCATATCTCTGGGTTTTTCTTCTTCCTCTTCATAAGCATCTCCAAGGATATTTCCTTCCTTCTCTGAACCGAGAATGTTCTCAACAAGGGTGTGAAATGTATCTGAGTAAAAGAAGTCTGTACTTTTGGTGTAAGATACTCCCATAAGAATTGCATTTAACTGTTCTTGAACTAGAAGAATCTCTCTCATCTTTTCCAATATGGATATTGTAGGAATAAAAGTGGTTGTAATCTCACTATAGGGTTAATTTTGGTGAAACTTACTTTACATTAGTTGACTTCTCTTCAAAATCTTCCAGCATCATTCTACAACAAGCATTCAAGATTTTAAAAGTTGTGTCTGAAAGACCTTCTTTAAGGGGGTTTAGCATTTTGTTATTAGTCTTTGGCCTGAATTTAGGCTGAGTAACGACTTGGAATTCATTCTTCCTTGTGAAATTTATGCTACTTGTGTGTTTAGTCTGGATGCTTCCATCCATCTGTTCGTTCAACTTGCTCTGGTCTGTTCTCTCTGACTTATCAATAAGCATAATTCTTTTAGAGAATTGGTTGACAGCGAACTTGAAAGTGTCAATGAACACCCAAACTAAAATGAATGGGATACCGATGAAGATAAATAGAATGAAGTCACAGATTCTGAACATCACGTCCTTCCAGTTCTTTCTTGGATTCTGAAAGATATACTTGAACTTGAACAACAAAATTAAGACATAAGATACAGGGCACATTATGACTGAGCAGATAAAGAACAAAAAAATTGAGGATATGAAGACTATCGAGTATTCTACCACAAGGAATATTTCGTTGATTCTATGTTTTCCCATCATTAAAAGAGGTACGAACAAGAAAATTATCATATTCAATGGCACTGGAGCAAAGACTATCGATGCATACTTTCTATCATAGTTGTATTTCTGTCTAAACTGAATCACCTTTCTCATATATAGACCATTTTTCACATCATTTAGCTCTGAATAAGTTGTTGAAAGAATAGCAATCAGGAAATTAAGAAGCATTATATTTGCTATGATAATGAATGCTGTGACAAAAATGTATCCAACCTTAGGGTCTACGTCCTTCAGATCATCATAAGTTCCAAATTCAAACTCTCCTATTGCTGATGCAAACAGTGTTTTCATAGAGTTTTCAAGATCTGAGAATTCATCAAGCTCAGAGAAAAGAATCTGGCCAGCTCCAATAAAAATAAAGAACATTGCTGCAAAGAGGATCAAAAATCTAATAACATCAACTATCATTGATGTGATAATCTTGACCATTGGCCCAAAGGTTCTATTTACCTGAAGTGCGTAGACAAGCCTAGCAAATTGTAGGGATACAGGGATGGCTATTGCTGCTTTAAAATTGAATACATCATCATCTCTCATTCTTTGAATCTGCACAGCTGCTCTAATTTCCTCTCTTTCAGAAGATAAGTCATCATTATAGTGGTAAGCAAACCTAAGAACCCGTATAATGTAAATCAGAGTAGATACTAAATTGATAAGCAATAGCCACGTGTAAGTATTTGCGTACTTCTTTCTTAAATTGAGGTAAATCATCACTTGAAAGTCTTGGATAAGATACCCTACTGTGAATCAGTTCAATACAAATATTAACATTGAATAATGCAAATAAGTGTCTCCTTCAGACTTTACATCCTTGTAAGCTTGTGTCGTGTCTCCATTAGCTGAGATCAAATTGTCAAGAGTAGTTTTAGCTTCAGTAACTCTATCCATTTGACGTATCATCAAGAAAGAATATATCTGTAGGAGAATACAAATAATCAAGATGAAAATTAAGTTAACAATAAGCTTTACATCAAGAGATCTTTTCCATATTTTGTACTGGTACATATGGCCAACTTCATCTCCTGTTCCTTCTTCTTCTCCAAAGGTTTCATTATAGTCTAAATATTTTTAGAGTTTTAGAGGATATAATTGCTTACTTTGCTCCTGAAGACCTCTGAAAATTTTTAGATTAGCTAAAAGTTATACTTAGAAATTTACAGAATTGTTTTCTGAGACTGCCCAAGCAATTGCCGTACTCAAATATTCTGAATGATTTGGTTACAAGAGACTTGCTTTGAGGCCCTGACATAATCTCCTCTTCAATTACTTTAAAGCATGTGCTTTTGTTGAGGAACAGTTCTCGCTCATATGGCCCAAGGTACATATTAGAGACAATACTGTCAACCATCGGATTTGCTAGAAGCTCAATGATGTTAAGATCCTCTATCATATTGATAATCTCGATTCCTGAATAAGTCTTGTCTAGGAGCATGTCTTGAATCTCATTCATACTAGAGGTATTGTCAATAATAGAATTTCCAATATCTCAGAGGCCTCCTCTAACTCTCTTGGCATGGAATTTCAAATTTTGGTGTTTTGAAGAAAGTGTAATCACTATGTTTAACAGCATCACTATAATCTTCAAAGGATTGGTGCTATACACTAAGAAATTGATATTAGGATCGTCTGTGATCTGGTCATAAAACACTTCAAAGAACTCAAGTGCTGTTTTATACTCAATAAATTTCATAAACTTTTCCAAGATAAAGAGTCTTTCTTCAAGATATAGCACTTGATTGACCTGAGAATCATCATTTTTGAAGGAATTCACGATAGATTTTATACTCAGTAATTTGTTGCCATAAACCTCTTCATCGTAGGTTCTCAGCAGGTAAAAAGCAATATGCAGATGGTTTATAGAAATTGCATAGGAAAATGCATCTGAGATGATTTCATCTAAATCGTACACATTGTCATCGTCATTCCGCCCAGGAAGAAACTCAGTCTGAGTATCTTCCCTTATCTGGTTTGGATTAGCACGAGAAGTATTGGCTTTATTGAGCCTGTAGGTCAGAAGCATCTCAAAAGTAGTAATCTGTTCATAATATATCAGGAGCTTATACAAAGCTACTGTCTCATTTGTAGGAACGGCTAATTGGTCATATAGAACTGTGATTACTCTTAACTCTTCTGCATCTGAAATATTAGGCGCCCTGATAGCAATCTCTACAATATCTGCCTTTTGAAGGAACTTTGTAAAAGGATTCTTCTTAGCTCTAATCTTCTTCTTTTTCTTAGATCCTGGCTTTTGAATGTTAATGTTCTTATTTTGATTTTGTATATCCTCCATAGATCTGTTTATATTGATAGAAGTGTTCAGATTTTTATGAAGATTCAAACTTGGATCTCCTTCATTGGTCAGGGTTATGTCTTTTGTACTCAAAAATTTCAACATTTCCTGCATTTCAGGGTCATCTAGCTCTTCGATTATAGAGAGAACTTGTTCATCATTGATTGTAGCATTGATAAAACATTTTTCAGCACCATTAAGAATATACTTAACCAAAGATGTCGATTTTGAATCCAGGGCGTGCTGGAAAGCTCTTTCTAGTACTCTTGGATCTGTAGTGACCAAGTCATAAGGATCGTTAATAGCGTTCTCTGGAGGTTCATAGCCCTCTAAATTATCGCTAAAATCTCTAATTGCTTGTGTAAGCTCTCCATCTCCTTCAATGCCTGCTATGAAGATCAGAAAATAAAGAATGTCAGGCTTTGCATTGATAGTATATCAAAGAGATTTGATTATGTTTTTGAAATCCATCCTAGGATCGGTATTTGCATTATCCTTTATCTTCTCTTTAGACTCCTCTGAGTTAATAGAGTTAGCATCAATTTCTTCAGACTGTAACAACCGAGAAGTGATGATAGGTAGAATGTTTTTAGGCAACCCCAGCTTCTTTTCATCTTCTAAGGTCTTAACTAATAGCTTCTCAAGATCTATTGATTCAGGCAAGTTCAAAGTTGTTTTACGGGCCATTTCTGAATTGGAATCTCTACAAGGAAATTTAGAAATTTGATAATAGCTTAGAAATCTTCCTTGCCAATTCTAGAATTCAAGAATAAATATTTTATCCAATATTCGAAGTATCGAATCCTAAGATTTTATGAGAAAGCTGAAGATCTCGCAATTTGGTTGTTTTGAAGGCCATGAATTAAAAACCTGTGGAAGATTGATTGTTCTTATCATAATATTTAGTATTTTTAGAAATGTTAAATGATTCCACCATTGCTTAAGCCTTGAGCTTTCCCTTAATAGTTAAGCTAAGCAAAATTAAGACAGAAATATACGAAGAATATTTTTTCTAAGGCTTTTTCTTGCAAACAAAATGATAGATTAATCTTGCTTTCCTCATCTTTCTGCGCATATACACCAGTAAAAAGTTGGCATATCCAACTGAAGTAACCAACTTACTGACTAATGTAATGTTCCTTGGAATCCTCTCCATCCACGATATCCATTTTATTTATTTTATATACGATCTTTCTTATGTGGGGTTTTGGGGTTTTGGGGTTTTGGGGG